CCCAATACTGTTGTTCTTCAACCAACCCACATCTGTTTTCAAACCCTCAATTGGGTAATAACCTTTCACCAAAACAGCTTAGTGATAAGGTTCATTTCATAATTTAGAAAAACTTGAATGGGAGTGGTCCAAGCAAAAATGGGAGTTGCAAGAGAAATTCCTTCTTTCTTTTTTGGAGGATCAGTAAGTATTTTCATTCTTCTGTAAGATACAAGTGATGAAGAAAGGCCAGAAGGGTCAAGAGACATGGACTATGAAGCTACATTCATTCCTTGAAAATGTGCATAAATCTCTTGGGAACTAATTTCCTCAAAGTGAGAATATAAATAAGCAAATTCTCTCTTACAGACAAGTTTAATAAATGGTAGGTTTGTATGACCAGTTGACCACCATTTGATGGTTTTCTTTTWTTTTTCGGTATTTGGTGATACACCCGAACCCCCCATAGGGGTTGTTTGAGTAGCACAGCACCACATTTGCAAGTGAAGACCAGGCATTGTTTAAAGAACTAGTTGGACAAAAGAGTGTTCATCAAACCCACCCACCCCCACCCCCCATGCAAGTGAGCCATATGGACCATGTGCACAGTATGTGAATCCCATTTGGATGCAAAAAGCCCTTGAATAGCTTTTGCCTGTATGCATGCTAAAGGAAGATGGTTCATTAGCACTAGCAGATGTTGGTTCCAATTCATACCTGAATAGATCCTGTCCAGTACACGTGGAACAGCACAGAAAATAGATGGTTTTAGCTCCCCAATGTCCTCAACCAAAAGTTTGACATCCTAAAGATGCAATCAAGTCTGAACTTAATAATCGCACTCTTTCCAGGTAAAAGTGTATGCAATRCTTTAACTTACCCCACGCCAAAATCCTATTGAGGCACCATGAGAAATAAATAACTCTTCAATCACACGATCAAAGATATGTGCCAGCGGTAGATATGACATGTATACATCCTTGGTATGCAACTGTTCACATACATGAATAAAAGTTATAAGGACATACTTCTCATTGATTGCTCTTACGTGCTAGTGACATGAGGAATGCTAATCATACCCTGATGAATGGGATCAGTAAACTACTTTCACCACTTTTTTACGTGTCCATATCATGGGTGTCTGTCTTTTTACATGGTGGTGGTTTGGTAATAACACTACCTCACATGCACACATGCAAAAGAATTGATGAGTATGGATCTTTGATCCCGTGCACAWGCACGAGAGAGAGAGAGAGAGAGAGAGAGAGAGAGAGAGAGTAAGATTCAGTGTTTTAAAAGCGCAAGGGCCAATTTGCTCCTGAGGCGCAAGGCGCAAAATTACAAAAAAAAAGCTAAAAAAAATAAAAAAGTCAGAAATTTAAAAAAAAATGCAAAAAAATCAAAAAAAATATAAACTTAAATTTTAAAATAAATGTTTTAAAATCTTACCGGAGCTCCAAGAACCCCCTATTTGCTAATGTTGTCCATTCATTTATTGCAATAAAATATCTTCTTAAAAGGCAATAAAAGTTATAAAATCATTATTTTTATGTGAGAAATAAGAATTTCAGACCCTAACATAGACTTGTTCAGGCTTGCCTCGAGGGGCGTGGTCGGGGGTTCGAGGGCGGAGCCCCAGGCCCAGCCGTTAAGACTCAAAGAAAAAAAGCAAAAAAGCGCAAAATTTTAAAAAGGCACACGCCTGGGCTGAGGCACATCARGCATGCACCTTTTGAAAGGGGTGCACCTAGGACCTAGGTGAGGCGCATACCCCAAAATGCGCCTCGCCTGTGCGCCTCAAGCGCACCTTTTAAATCACTGGTAAGGTTAGCATTCCTCCTAGCCATACAGGTAAATCAAAATGTGCACACTTTCACCTCTTCATTGACACTCTCTAGCAGCCGCTTTACACCAGCTATAAGAGTAATAATGCTATCATTGGAAATCATAACACCCTTTGGGTCGCCTGTTGTTCCACTAGTATACATAATTGTACAAATATCAGTTTTCTTTGTCACTGGAAGATCAAAATGTTTATTAACACCCTGCAGATGAAAAAGTGCAAAATATGTCAGAACTCACTTTCAATTGGTACTTCAAAATTTAACTTTCATTTATTGTTGCAGAATCGCCAATCATAAAATAATTATTATTGAAGAATTTAACATTCTGTCACTTATAAAATTTAGCATAGTTCAATCTTTTTTAAAGCTTATATACTATAAATTTAAGCTTTATAAATAACATGAACAAAATATTTCTATTGTTATCTCACAATGTAAAAAATTATGGGTAGCAACTAGTTCTAATTCTTGGACTTCCAACCCTAGGCAACTCTCATGTGGTTGGCTGGATCAGACTCACATGAGAAACCCTAATCTGGCTCTAATACCAAGTAGTCGATCAAGACTACCATCAGTCTTGAATTCGAAAGCAAAAAAAAAAAGAAAGATTTCAGAAGAAAAGAAGAAGCACACGAAGGGTTTTAGAAAAGAGAGAGAGGGTAGATCTTAATGATCTACCAACCCACTCTTAATATTTATATATGTTGACTAATTGTAAAAGGGCTGAATTGCCCTTATTGCTTACATGGCAAATAAACTAAT